CTTTCTTTTAAAGCATTTTCCTCTCTCTCCTTTGGGCTTGTAGACAACTCAATACTTATTTTGATGATGGTACAGAGCACACTGCGTGGTGACCTCTAGCTTGAATCTCTCCCTATAAATTGTATGTTGTTCAGAGACAGTCACTATGGCTTATTCCTCTGCCTCTTTGATTCAGTGCCTACCCATTTGTCTGTACATACATTTTTGTTCAATAAATAAATGGAAAAGATACACCATCATTCATAACTTAATTATTCAGTCAAATGTGGGAGTTTTAACTGCCTTCCTATGCCATATTCCATTCTTTCTATTTACAATGCTAGTAAACAATGGCATCCATATAAATTACACATACAATAAAGAATACAATGGTTTGGAGCAAACATTTTTGTGAACTATTTTTCCAAGGAAACTGATTTTGGAAGCCAAGGCACTGCCTGTTAAATATTGCTTTTCTTCTTGCAAAACAATAATTTTATATCATGTGGGATGGCAAGTTCTGGTACCTTGTCAGATTTTTATTTAAGCTACTGATGTAATCCTCTGATGCCAATTCAAAGTTGCTATTTTTAAATGAATACTTTCCTTGAACTGACTTTTAATTCCTTGGGTAATTTTTGCTTGTTATTAGCAGTTGAATAGTTGTGCCTGTGCATCAGAGTTCAGGAAAATAGCAACCATCTGCCAAGAACCACAGACCTTAGCCCTTAGTCTCTGTTTTTCTGACAGCACCGCCTTCTCTAATGGAAGTATCAGTACCCAGGGAGCTCTCGGCTGGCACTCAGTAGTAGAAATATTAACACCATATGGCCTATCCTAGGTAAATTAAATTTCCTCATGTCTCTTGCTAAAGATAAACTAAAAGGAGATGGTGAATCTTTGGACACATTAAGTAAATAGCAATATTAAAAACTCTCCAAGCTGGAAATGGAGCACACCAGTTGTCAAGAGGTTAAACCATTTAAAAAATAGATTGTTCAAAGGGGAAAAAATGTAGATCTCTCAAGAACTCACTCTGACAACTCACTTAATAAGCACATACTGTTTGTTCTCAGAAAAGTCAGCTTTTTAATTTAGAGGAGTTGAAAGGTTCATTTCTGGAAACAGCTTGTCCTCAAGTTTTTTAATAGTTCAGTAAAACTGTGAGTGGGAGTCAGAGGATGAGTACAATGGAAATACTCCAACCGTTTCAGTGACCTTATTTGGTGCATAATAAGAAACTTTCCAGCGTGCAGATAAATCAGGATCCTACAAAATTCCCTGAATGAAGCTTAATAAACACCCTCTACTTTAAAATCAGTCCCCATAACTTCTAAAAATCTGATTATTCAGAAAAAAAGAAATTACACAGTGAAGTAGAAACATCTGAGTATGATGAGATAGCTAAGTACTCCTATTTACAATTAAACAAACAAACAACAACAACAACAACAAAAAACTGTTGGGCCGGACGTGATGGCTCAAGCCTGTTATCCCAGCACTTGGGGAGGCCGAGGTGGGCGGATCATTTCAGGTCAGGAGTTCAAGACTAGCCTGGCCAACAGTGAAACCCCGTCTCTACTAAAAACACACAAATTAGCTGGGTGCGGTGGCTAACCCCAGCTATTTCGGAGGCTGTGGCAGGAGAATTGCTTGAGCCTGGGAGGAGGATGTTGCCGTGAGCCGAGATAGCACCACTGCACTCCAGTCTGGGCGACAGAGTGAGAGACTCTGTCTCTAAAAAATAAAATAAATAAATAAAACAAATAACTGTTTTAGGATAGTCAAGATATTTCATATGTAAATAGCCTAGTGTGTTTATGGTGTTTATGCAGGAAGGCTTTAAGTAGAATGGTTCAGATCATAAGCTCTCATGAATACCTGGATTTTATTCCCAAGTTTTCAACTTACAGGGAACTTGGGGCAAGGTAACCTCTATAGGCCTCTGTTTCCTCATATGCAAAACAGGAATAATAATAGTACTTCCATCATAGGGTTATTATGGGTGTTAATATGAGATAGTACTAAGGGGCACTAAGTAAGTGTTTTATGTGGACATGTAAAACATTGCATGAGCCAAATACATTTTGAAGATCTGTTTAGATAACGAAGACTCAGAAAGCATAATCCTGATTAGTTATCAGGGATCAGAGAATATTGAAGTTTATCCAGCTAATCCTCTTATTTTATAAGCGAGTAAACAGAGCAGTATTAGACTCTTCATTCTATTTAAGATTTTTCTAAAAAATATTCCATTAAATTTGAACTTTAGAAAGTTATCTTGTTGGAAAACTATTCTTTAAAGATATTACACAGATTCATAGATATTTTCTTCACAATCATTTTCTTAAAAATTTTAAACACTTTTACTGAGATATAATTGAAATACCATACAATCCACTCCATTTAAAGTGCACAATTCAATGTTTTTAGCATGTTCCCAGATTTGTGCAACAATTATAACCACAAAAGGAAACCACATATGCATTAGCAATCATTCTGCATTTTCCCACAACTTGCCCTAGCTCTGGACTACTGCTAATTTACTATAGCTTTGCCTATTCTGCACATTTTATACAAATGGAATCATACCATATATCATCTTCTGTAACTGGCTTCTTTCACTTAGCAAAATGCTGTCAAGGTTCATCCATGTTGTACCATATATTACTATTCATTCCTTTTTATTATCAAAAAATATTACATTGTATGGATAGATCACATTTTACATATCTATTGATTAGTTGGTGGATATTTTCGTTGTTTCTACTTTTTGGCTATTGTGAATAATGCTGCTATAAACGTGTGCATTAGTTTTGGAGTGGGTGTATTTTTACATTTATCTTGGGTATATACTTAATAGTAAATATATACTCAAGGGTAATATGGTAACTTGGGGCTTAACATTTAAGAAACTGCCACACTGTTTTCCAATTGGCTGCAGGATTTTACATCCCCACCAGAGATAAATGAGGTTTCCGATTTCTCTATATCTTCAACACTTTTTATTGTTTGTCCTTTTTGTATTTTTGGATTATAGCCAGTCCTAGTGAGTATGGTATCTCAGATGTTAGATGATTTTCACTTCTGTTTCCTTAGTGGATAATGATATTGATCATCTTTTCATGTAAATGTTAGGGATTTGTATATTTTCTTTGAAGAAACCCATTTTACAATTAGGTTATTTATCTTTCTGTTGTTGAGTTTTAAAAGTCTTATATTATGTTTTGAATAAAATTTCCTTGTCAGATAGATGATTATCAGTATTTTCTTGTATTCTGTCAGTTGTGACTGTCACATTTTGAATGAACTCTCTACTAGTTAATCCATTCAAGAATGACAAAATAATACTTGTGCTAATAGCCCAAGTCTAACTTCAGCAAAAAATAGCTAGAATTTTGCATAATAATTTTATAGATTTTAGCTGATCTTATATCTAAACCAGAAAAAGAAGTTAGAGTTATGTTGGAAATGAGAACTTTTTCCCAAAAGGATCTTTAAACACTAGCATGATGAATTGTGAATATCCCAATGAAACCAATCAATTGTTAATTACCATAGACTTATTTCATTAACTAATGTAACTGTACAAAGTCATGTAGAAAATAAATAATATCGATAATGTCCTCAAATTGCTTATAATTTAAATGTTAAACTACTGTACAAATAATAATAATATATCTTAGAAAGCGATTGGTTCAATATTAAGGAACTACTATGTCCTAGGTGATACTAAGCCTTCCAGAAACAGAAACACTGAGATGATCTGTTTTGCCTTGAGTAGCTCTGAGTCTGATGTGGGTGAAAATATACACATTTTACATATGGCATATAAACATGTTACCATAAAATGCAATGTATAAAGCAATAGAGCACTGTACTAGGCCAGGAGTGACCAATTTTAACATGGCAAGGTCAGGGAAGACCCCACAGAAGAAGGCTTATAAAAGAAAAAAGTTGCAAGCTCAAATAATAGAAAAAAAAAATATATATATATATATATATTCCATTATATATACAGAGAAAGAAGAAGGCATCCGAGCACACATCAGTTAATGGAAGAGCCATAAAACTAATAAAATCTTCAAAGTGAGGAGTACAATAATAATAAGTAAATTTCAAGCTTGGGTGACTGAGAAGCTAGTAATTTTACAAATAATGGAAAAAACCCACTCTCCCCTTTACCCACCCCAGAAGTTTCATGAAGGACAGTAATTAGTAAATAAATCTAAAAAAGGTCAGTTTGAAAGTTCTTCATGTAACTCCCTTTCCCACCTTCCTCTTCCTCTCAGGTTCTTGCGAGCGGATTCAGAATAGAACTGGGTTTCACATTTTTTTGCCTGGTTTAAGAGATTGCAGACTTTCTTCATGGCATCAGTGAGCTGATGCTATCAGGACAGACTTAAAATATCTTTTCTTGGCTTTGAATATAAAAGGGAAGCCAAGGAAGACTTGTTTCTCCTGGACCAGAGCCAGCTACCACAGTTATTCCTACAAGCTTCTCCTTAACAAGAAGACATCATTAGCCCCTTTCCTGGTGCTCCAGGCATTTGATTCTGAGGGAAGATCTGAAGTGCATGCAAGGAATATATTTTTTTCTTTTACTCCTATCATCATCATTATCATATTAATTGTACACCTACTATACATAGGTCATTTTGCTAAACTTTGCATATTTTAATAGTACAAGAAATCATCCTAATTTTTAAAGACATTTTTATTTTGAGAGAAGTAGGGGTTATTTTTCCCTGTTTATTTTTATTATTTCTGTAAGAACTAGACTCCTCATTTAAGAAACTTCTCCAATTTACTACACTACAAGCTTAGTGCAGAAGACATGATTATAGCTTAGATTTGTTTAAAATTTATATTCATAGCTTACATTTATCTAAAATTAATATCCATAACTATCAAAATTGAGAACAAACAGAATAGCTATTGAATTAATCATATGGTTCTATATTTCTCTTCAAGCAAGTTCTTTTCAGTCAATAATATCATGCTTGTTATGCAATTCTTACCTGGAAGTCAGAAGCCCAAGGGCTTCTAGAGGTTGAGAAAATGTCCATCTTCTCAAAATGGTATGCATTTCTGACACAGTCGTTTCATCCCATCCAGGGGCACTACCCAGGACCAGAGGAAGGGAGCAGTTTTCATTATTGCAGTAGAAGCGATAAAACCATAAATATCTTTTCTTTTCTTCAGAGAGTCTGAAAAACCAGATTGGAAACTGTAATTTACTGGAGTTTGCTGCACTAACAAATCTTGCTATAAATATGCAGTACAAAACCTTACTGTAGGTATTTGAACTTTATTTTAGTTTACTTTTGGAAAATGTCTTTTATTTTCTTGGGTTGGTTTCATAGTTTATTTCATCAGTTTATTTTCCACTAACTTTATTCTTTTGTATTATTATTTTGAAAAAAAAATCAATTCAGATAATTCACATTTATTTTTGTTCACTCTTATTTGTGTGTGTGTGTTTTTTTTTTTTTTAATATGTCATTTTGGTTGGCAAGTGTCTCTCCTCTAGGGAAAATCAAGTTTATCTGAATCCTGCAACACATCCTATTTAAAACAAAAGTAATCAACTATTTACTCTCTTATTATCATTATTTTTTCAAATTAACTGAGATCCAAGTGGGCCTGTGAAAAAACGGCATATTTTAGTAATGATTTTTCTTCATTTCAAAGCAAGTGTTATCAGAATTGAGAACTCTTGGCTGTTGTTAACTTCAAAAACAAAGATCTCAATTCATCCCTGGATTATGTCTTTAAATGTTCAGAGTTCATGGGAAGTTTGGCGTGACAATGTCAGTGATGCTAGTCTCTTAGATGCTCAAGTATTTCCCCCTGGAGAGTAGTTTGAAATAAAAGATCTAAATCTAGGACTAGGGCCTTGACTTGCTGACAGTTTATCATGTTTTGCTCACACTCCAGTAGAAGTATTCAGAACCACAGTTCAATTGGAGAACAGCTTCCCTCACACGACAATGGCTTTTGAGCACTCTCCCCTCCAAACTGACACTGAGCTTGAATCGGCTAAAATTCCCAAGAAGGCTAATGAAACATAATAAAAGCTTTTAGAGGTCTATGTTTCTCTATAATTTATTTTAAAGTTATCCTCATCTGCAAAAAGACAAGATTGGATTATAGGTGATTTTTAAGGTGTGGTTAGGTTCTTTTTTACACATATTTTGCTACCACCTTTTCCTCTGAAAAGCCCACAGAAGAAAAAATATCCATAGTAAAATTACTAAAACATTTTCTCAGATTAAATTTTTTTTCTCCAATACTGAACAATGCTTTTTTGTTGTTGTTGTTAAAACAAATGCACATTCAAGGACATGGCAGAGATTCAGTTCAATCATTTTTACAATTGCATATACCAGATAACAACCACGCTCCTATCAAGATATATATAGTTTTTTTCACCTCATCAGAGGCAAGCACTGGTATGATTTCTTTCACTCTAGATAAATATTAACTTTTTAGAACCTCATATAAATCAAATCATAGAGTAAATATGTTTTTATTCATAGCTTCTTTCACTTTATCGTATAATGTTTTTGAAATTGTCCAAATTGGTTAAGTTTGTCAGTGGCTAATTCCTTTGAATTAATTAATATCATTCCTTTGTATGAATATAACACAATTTACTTATTCACTCTCCTGTTTGATGGACATTTCGGCTGCTTCCTTTTGAGGGGGTATGACGAATAAAGCTGCTGTGAACATTTGTGCACAAGTTTTTATATAAATGTATTTTTAATTTCTCCTAGGAAATATCTATGAGAGGAAGGATGTGGTCATATGTAAGGTATTCATTTTTACAAGAAATTGTGAAACTGTTTTCTGAAGTAATTGTAAAATTTTATATTATTACCTGCAGAGTATAATAGCTCCATCTGTACTACATTGTTGCCTATTCTTGATTTTGTCTCTCTTTATAATGTTATCCATTTTAATGGGTGTATAGTGGTATCTTATTGTGCTTCTAATTTACATTTAGTTGGTGTTTTCATGTTATTTTCTTACATCTTTTGTTTGAACTATAAGCTCATGTCTTTCCCCTACTTTTTTGTTTAGATTCACTTGCATGATTTCTTCATATACTCTGGATACAAAAATTTAGTCATAAAAATGTTTTGTCCATATTTTTCTCAAAATGTGACTTGCCTATAGATTTCCTTAACAGTGTCTTTTCATGAATAGTTTTAAATTTTGATGATGTCCAATTCAGAAATTCTTAAATAGTTATTACTTTCTCTATTTAAGAAAACATTGCCTATCTTAACATTCATTCTTGTGATTTTTTCTGAAGTATTCCGAAAGCAATATTTTACTTGGTGAACACACTTTTTTCATTTATGGCATGGACGGTCTTGTCAAAAATACATTAAACATACAAAAGGGGCTCTGGCTCTCTATTCTACCTACGTTGAATTCTATTCTGTTGATCTATTTTCCTATCCTTAAGCAATATCACACTGTACTAAGTGCTGTAAATATATAGTACATAAATTCACAAAAGTTAGAAAATCAGACTTCGTTCTTTTTTCATGAAGGTTTTGACTATTCTAGTTTCTTTGCATTCCACATAAATATTGAAGTCAGCCTTTTAATTCTACAAAAATCTGCTGGATTTTCATTGGGATTATATTTTATTTATAGGTGAGTTTGAAGAGAATTATCATTTTAACAATAGGAATCTTTTCAATCCATAGATATAGTATGTTCTTTCATTTATTTAGATTTTCTTTAATTTTCCTTAGCAAAGTTTTACATTTTTTAGTTATTAATTTACTAAATTTTAATAAATAAAATTTTGATATAGCATATACAATTTCAAAATAGATTTATTTTATATACATTTTTACTGGAACACAATTAGATTTTGCATGTTGATCTCAAATGCTATGTCCTTTACATAATCATGCTGTGTGAAAAAAAAAAGAAGAAAAAAAAGAAAATTGTCAGTTTTATTCTTTTCTTTTCAATTTTAACCTTAATTTTTTTTTTCACATAGTGTACTGGCTAGGATTTCCAATACAATATTAAAGATAAATGTTGGAAGCAGACATTGTGGTTTTGTTTCTAACCTTAGGAGAAAGCATTCATTTTTGCATGATTTAACATGATACTAACTATAAACTTTTCATAGATCACTTTTCAAGGCTGAGAAAGTTTCATTCTATTTCTAGTTTTGTGAGTTTTTATCATGACTAGGTACTGAACTTTGTCACTTTTTTTCTGGATCTAGCAAGGTGATATGATTTTCCTGGTAAATATTCTCATTCTTTTACTTTTAATCTGATTGCTTATATACAAAACATGTTTCTGTAAAAACAATAAAATTATATGTTACTTTTATGATGTAGGCTGAGAATTTCTGCTTTTTAGTTTGAGTTCAGTTCATTTACATTTAATGTAATATTGAGATGGTTACCTAACCATACCAATGGCTCCCTGTGTTGCTACTAGTTTTTATGGGGTGTTTCTTTCTTTGTCCAAACCATTTCTTGGTCCCCTTTACTCTATGTTTTCTTTTAGATTTTATTTTCTGTTATATTTCATTTTTATCTTCTTGGCTTTTAAATATACTCTTAAGATTTAAGAAATGTGTCTTTCTAGAGATTAAAATAACCTTTGTTTAAGCATATTACAGCCAATCATGAATTAATATTATGCTTCCTCACATAAAATAAAAAAAAAACTTAGAACAATATACTTCCATTTTCCATTTTGATTCTTATTGAAGTCATTATAAATTTTATTTTTTATATATTATAAATCCAGAATACATTGCGATCATTTTTAAATCACTTTTTAAAGAAAATAATAAATGTGTAAATGAAACTATTTTTATTTATTTACCTATTTTGGGGTATTTTTATTTCTTCTCATCAATTTGAGTTTCCATCTAGTATCATTTTATTCCAGCTTGAAGTACTTTTTTTTTTTTTTTTTTTTTTTTTTCATATAGTATAAATGAACTGATAATAAACCAAGCTGTATTTGGTTGGAAATATCTTAATTTGGCCTTCATTTTTGAAACATAATTTTACTGTTTATAGAATTCTAATTTGAAAAAGTTGTTTTCATTTTTAACACACAAAGATAATATTCTACCACCTTTTGGCTTGAATCATTTCTGATGAGAAGCCTGTAGTTAGTATTTTATATAGAATATTATAGCTGTTTCTCTATATGTATTTTGTTTATTTTCACTGATGTTTCAAATTTTTATATTTATTTTATTTTTCAGCAATTTCTCTATAATGTACCTGGGTAGTGTTTGGTGTGTGTGTGTGTGTGTGTGTGTGTGAGAGAGAGAGAGAGAGAGAGAGAGAAAGAGAAAGAAAAAAAGGAAAGAAAGGAAGGAAGGAAAGAGAGAGGGTATGTATTTGCTTAGTGGTTACTAAGCCTTTTACTTCTTATATTTGTGGGTAAATTAATTTGTTTAAAAATCAAATTCATCAAATTTGTCCATCTCCTTAATTATTTTTTTGCCTCAGTATCTTTCTGCTTTTTGCTGTGTCCAGTCCACACATATTGTTTGATATTGTCTGTCAGGTCACAAGGTGCTGTCATTATTTTCAGGGTTTATTTTCTTTTCGTACTTCAACATGGAGAATAATTCCTATTGCCCTGACTTCAGGCTCCCTGTTCTTTTTTTCTTGCATTTCACAATCTATTAAGCCCATTTTCTATTTTTTTAAACAAATAGATTAGGCATTGTGTTTCTAGCTCTTAAATTTCCATTTTTTAGTAAGATTCTTCATTTGTTCATTCATATACTTTTAAAAAAATCACTAAATATCTTTATAATAGCTATATTGAAATCATTATTTGCTAATTTAAAACTCTTTGGATCTGTTTCTATTTACCACTTCCTCTCCCCAGGATATGTTTATATTTTCCTGATTCTTTCCAATTATTTTCCTGGTTACTGATTGCATGGTAGACATTTTCAAATGTGCTTAAATTATTGATTATATGCTAGACATTTAGAATAGCACATTGTTGAGAGTCAGTATTCTGCTATTTTTCAGATGTTGAATCTCATTTTTTTAGTAGACAGTTCAATTACTGGAAGATAAGCTTAATTTCTTTGAGACTGGTTTTTATGATTTGTTAGGTTGGGCCTACTATAGTCTTTAATCTAGGGCTAGAGTGGACTTAATCTTAATATGTATCTTTTTGGTTTCTTTATTATTGTAAGGAATGGCCTGTGAGCTTTCTCCATGCTTCTTGGTCAGAATTTCTATGTCTCCCCGAATTGTGTGGCTTCTCAAATCACATTTACTTTATATCTCCCTGAAGCAGTTCTCTTGTAGGCCCTGGAATGTTTCCACCTGCTCATGAGTAGTTTAGCACTCAACTAAATATTTAAGACTCCAATACAGATTTCTGTAGCTCCCATCCTGCTCTCCAGTATGATGCTCTGAAGGTGCCAGCTGCCTCAGCATCACTGAACTCTAAATTCTGCCTTTTTAAAAATATCTCATCAGGAGCTGCATTCTCTTCTTATATTCTACCTTCCCAAGTCATGTGGGAGGAACCAGGTATAGAAAGTGACTCCAGGCTGAAAGCCACTTTAATCCCAAGACTTGCCTCAAGTCCTGTTTGTTTAATTTATGAAAACAGTTGCTTCATATCTATTTTTCTCTTTTCATAATTCTCTCAGTCAAGGGGATTAGTCTTGCACTAGATATTCTTCATGGTACAAGTAGAAGCACTAATCTATTTTAGAACAATTATTGTTACATATTTCATTCTGGGGTGTTGTTTATGTTTGGAAGCATTCTTTTGGTTGACATCAGGAAGAATTTTTTTTTCAATTTTTATTTTTACAAATATCACAAGCACATTTTCACTGAATTTTATTGAGTCTGAACCTCCTCACCCTGATTACTTTTGGTCAGTTTGAAAGATGGAATAATTACGTTACCAACTAAATGATAAAATGTGGTATTGGGAAACTGAGGTTAATCTGATTCTAACACAAGTTTCACCACATTGAAGGCTGTTTTCCATCTGTTTTCATAGTCCAGAATAAAGCTGTGCTGTACTGAACATTAATAATTGTATTTGAGTGGGTGAAACAGAGGAAAATGTTGCTTATTTTATGAGTGTTGTTAGCTTAAATAGAAACTGAAATATAAAACAATTAGAATCTACTGGTATTAATTTAAAAACACAAACCTCTGATATTTAAAGGCAGTTACCATGATTATTATTTGTTGGTTTTGACCTCTTTTTGTTTGAATATATTTAAAATTTCAAGGCATCTTTTTCATATTAAAAATCTCTGAGTGGCTAAATATATTAATAAGAGGCTAAATATGTTAGCCTCTTATTAGTGGCACACTTGTTGAATATATGACCTTACAGTTTCAAATGAGACAGAAGAAGATGCTTCACCTAGTTAATAATGACACTTAAGTCTTGAATGACAATGGATTGTCAATATATATGTCATGAGGTCTGTGAGATCTTCCCTTTTCTTCAGTTCTTAAGGCAACTTTTTATACCGGAAACTATGCAAGGTCAATTTGGTCCTTATAACCTATTTATTTCACACACATTATCATCAGTGTATCGCATTAGAAATATAGTGATAAACAAGAGAGATGGGTTCCTTGCCTTTGCCAGTTCTTGCAAATTAATGAGGGGACAAGAACTAAATACATGAGTGAGCAGGATAATAGCTTGTGTTAAGTGTGATGACATAAAAGGTAATATGATAGAGAGTGAGGGAAAAAAGGCTTTATCACACAGAGTGGTCAAAGAAGGACTTTTTGAGGTGAAATTTAAGTTAAAACCTAAAGGATGAGATAATGTAGTAATGTGAAGAACTTAGGAAAGAGTATTTCAGGCAGAGGGAATGTCAAATAAAAAAGCCTTGAGATGGGAGCAGGACTCGCATATTGGAAGTTTAAAACGGAGTTTGACGTCACTGGCTTGAAGTGAATGAGAAAAACAGTAATAAACATTGAAATTAGAGGTAGGAAAGTAGCAAGATTACTCAAAAGAACACTGATTGCACTCAACGCCCTAGTATGGGATGGCCCAAAATGAGTCCTCCTCCAAAAAATGACTCTATCATCTGCCCATTGATCAACTCAAAAATTTGGATTATCTATTGACTTAACTTTGATTCTTTAATTTCTTAATGGACTTACTCCAAGATTCTAATTAATTATCAGGTTATATATTCTCAACTTCCAATATATGTCTCCCAAATCTAGACACTTCTATGACTATCCACTGCTATATTTTAGTTCTAGCCATCATGACTTCTTGCCTAAACTGCTACCTTCACCTCCTTACTGAACTGCTTGCCCTACTGCCACGTCCTCTCCAATCCATTCTTCAACTTGTGATCAAAGAGATCACTCAACAAAATTCTTCTGATCACATAATTCTCTTGTTCAAAACCTTTACATTATTTTTCACTCTTGCAGTAAAGTGCCTTATCATGTTACATAACCTCTCTCTCTCTCTCTCTCCCCATCAACCCACCTACCCTCCCCCCCCACCACACACACACGCACACACACACACACACAGAGAGAGGGAGAGAGAGAGAGAGGGAGACTTTCTTAGTTTGATGGCTTTGGTATGTTATTCATGAGCACATTCAGCTGTGACATGCATTTTGCCAAGTAACAACTACAAATGCCACTAATTCCCTAACAGTTCTCCCTAGGATTTTGTTTCTATTCAAAGATATTATTTTACAAAATACCCCTTTGTCACTAATTTTGTGCTGCTAAAACAAGACTTATTTCTTTTCTGCTCTTTTTAAAATTTGCCTTAATTAAGTATTGTTTTTCCTTATTGACTAAAACAACTTCCTACTCCCTGGAAGGAAGTTTGGGAGATGGCTTATCACTGCTATGTGCTGATTTATATCTAATCACTCTCTGCTTTGTTATTTTGAACTCAATAATTTCCAAACTTTCTACTTTTCCTTAAGACCACAGGAAATAAATCGTTAAAAACCCACAAAATTAGTTATTTACCTCCTAAACATTAATTGACCATCAAAACAAACATGACATTAAGAAATGAAACGAGTTATGTAGGAAGAAAGGCTTACTCTTTGAAGATATCATACTTCAAGGATGATTGAGGAAATCATAAACAGCAGGCAAAATTCACTTACAAGACCTAGGTCACTTACAGTAGGGGAGTCTGTTTCTGTGAAAGTCTGGCAATATGTTTTAAATGTTCCTTTGGTGGCTCTTCAAGATTACTTCTATTCTCTTCGGAATCAGGTTTCATAAACTCCCACCCAATAGCTGGAAAATCAATCTGAAAGAAAGCAATGATTTGCCATATGTTGAAGGTATCTGAAAATGCATTATTAATTTAATACTCCTATCTTAGATTTACAGAAACCAAAGAACAGAATAATTCATATTTTTTCTGTGCAATTTATATTTTTAACATATATATTTAAAATATATATATCTAATAATTTTTAAAAGAATTTTTAGAGCTTGGACTTAGGATTTTAGTATACAAGATATTTAGCCAATCATTTATACACATGATATAGATGGTCACCTGTAATGTTGTCTGAGGGAAAATGAGACAAATAGTAACAATATATGGCCTCTCCATAAAGATGAATATATCACATTTTTGGTTAATGCTGAGATTATATCCATTTAACATTTCAGTGCTAAAATGTCTCCTTGTGAAATAATGAAATTTAACATTGGAAATTACGCTTTTTTCATGTAATCCACCTGAGAAAATAAAGAGTTTATGTTGATCTCTACTTCATGAAATCTACAAGTCTGGGAATCATTTTGTACGAATGAGTGAGCTCTTCTTTGATAAAGAACTGTTATGCTAGTAAAAAGTAAAATAGAATATTTCTGCTTTGGTTCTGTAGTTCAGATTTATAGACAGTTCTAAATCCAGGCTTTGTTCCTGGCTCAATGTACTTTCTATCAAAACAAGTTTCAGTGATTCAGAATCTGATTTTAGTAAATAAAATTACAGTTAACAAAAAAGACAGCTCCAAACTATGTAAATGAGCTGGACATTTTAGGGCTCCATAGACTTGCTTAAGGTTATTACACATACTGTTCTTTTTCTCATTTTAATATTAGAAATCCCACAGGCACTATTTTTCTCTGCTGAATTATGTTAGGTTGGAATCTCAAAGTAAATTGAGGAACCTTACAAAGTAGATGGTATGAGTTTCAGTTTGAAACACAGTTTAATATATTTGAGAGCTTATTTATTTGAAAAGTTTTAGTGATTTTATTCTATAACCCCTAACATTTGTTGATTTTTGTTTTTGATATAATCTATGTTATAATGTATCAATTACTACTCCAAAATAACAAAAGAAACAAGTAGGTCAGGCGCAGTGGCTCATGCCTGTAATCCCAGCACTTTCGGAGGCCTAGGCAGGAGGATCACGAGATCAAGAGATCAAGACCATCCTGGCCAACGTGGTGAAACCCCATCTCTACTAAAAATACAAAAATTAGCTGGGCATGGTGGTGTGCCCCTGTAGTCCCAGCTACTCAGGAGGCTGAGGCAGGAGAATTGCTTGAACCTGGGAAGCGGAGGTTGCAGTGAGCCGGGATCGTGGCCACTGCACTCCAGCCTGGCTCCTGGCAACGGAGCGAGATTCTGTCTCAAAAAAAAAAAAAAAAAGGAAGAAAGAAACAAGTAACAGAACAGCTTAACTGAAACATTACAGGAAATGTTTAATCTGTTGACAAAGATTAATCTTGAAAGATGAACTTTGGTATCTTAGAGGGAAGGGCATCCAGAACAAGCAAGTTACATGCTACTCTTTATATGGGCAAATATTTTTAAATAACTGTTAATAAGTTAGTACAATTTTATGTTGATACTAAGTAAATGGCACGGTGGATGAGAAAACTGAGAGTAGTAGATGAGCATACAAAAGAACTCCTGTGTACAAACCTGTAATACATTATTTGTATATATTTTACTTAGGAAATGATTTTTATTTCTGATACATGAGTGAGCTTCTATATTAAATTGTATTTTTTCATGAATGATGAGGCTAAATAGCTACAGATTTCTTGAGTTACTATAGAAAATATTGAAATTTCTCCTAACTGCCTTTTGCACTTTTTATAAGAGAAAATTTCCCCAAAAGTATGCTTTAATGCATTTGCTTTAGAACAATTTTAAGCACCATACCTTATGGAAGATATAAGCAATACCTAGTATTTTCTGCTAACTTACAGTCTAATTGAGGAGGAAATACACACACATTAACAATTAAATTAGGGAATAATAAATACACAGCCTACAGTGTGCTTCACTGTTGTGCTCTCAGTACTGACCAACACTCGACTCTGTTCTTTCTACTTCTATGGCTATGGCTGACCAAGCCTGGCTTTGGTCCCAAATTTCTTTTTAAAGGAATGTTCTAGAAGATCTACTCAAACGTCATCACTGCATGTGCCATGACATTCATTTGTCATATTCCTGTTTAAGCCTTGAGGATACACTCCTGGTTTTAACAATAACAACAACAACACAAATATGGGGTGTTTTTTGGGATAGAGGAACATATTCAAACCTGGTTACCCTCCCTTCTAATTCACGCCTCCTTACACATTTAAAGATCAACTTCTTGTGCTCCATTTATCCATCTTGCTTCACTTCTGCTCTTCCTTTGTCCTTCACACTTGGCCACCATGATTTCTATCATGGCTTCATGACTTGGTACTGCTCACAGGATCTGTTGTGAATTTCCCTAGTAAGGTGCCCCTGGGCCAATTTTGGGTCCCTATGATTCTGTCAGGTTATTCGAAGAAATTCTACCTGGACTGTGTGTAGGATGGTATTATAAGACACACGTGCTGGGCATGGTGGCTCATCTTTGTAATTCTAGCACTTTGGGAAGCTGAGGTAGGCAGGTTACTTGCGGTAAGAAGTCAAGACCAGCCTGGCCAACATGGTGAAACCCTGTTTCTACTAAAAATACAAAAATTAGCTAGGCAAGGTGGTGTGCACCTGCAATTCCAGCTACTTGGGAGGTTGAGGCATGAGAGAGAATTGCTCGAACCCTGGAGGAGGAGGTTGCAGTGAGCTGAGATCACGCCATTGCACTTCAGTGGAGGTGATAAAGTGAGACTGTCTCAAAAAAAAGACATATGCATGTTAGACCATGAGTTCTATTGCAGTTCAGAGGAAGGAGGGATAACTGCTAATTGAGTGGCAATTGTGGTGAGTCTGAAAAAAGGAGTTGTAAAAGAGGGATCCATATGGTGGTTTTGGAGTGAGAAAAAAGGATCTGTTACATTAGAACTCAAATATAATGTGCTCTAAAAACTTTCTATCAATGATAAGACTGGTGCCTCTTCCTAAGGCTGTAATGGAAGATAAGCGTGTACTAAAATGTTAGATAAAGTAAAATACTTTGAATGAGTAAGTAAGATCTGTGGTTTAAGGAGACAACCCACTTAGATAAAAGGAAGAGCTAAACATTTTGATATTCACGTTTGGATAAGTGGACCAAAGGGCTAAATTGAGATATATCTGTGGGTGGTGTTTTTGTAGTCATCAGAAATATGGATATGTATCATTAATTTGACAAATACATTCTTCCAACTACCGTGCTAGATGCTTGTGATATAATACCTTCAATGCCATCGGAGCTCTTTGTCAGTGGAAAAGAATATGTTGTGGTGAATGTGTTGAAAAAATGCTGTTGGGTTTTATGTGAACACAGAAGAATGGCACTTAATTCGGCTTGGCATGAGTAGAAGAGGAGGGGGTAAGGATAGATTTCTAGAGGGTCCATGGATGGCAAAAGATGAATTTCATTTACACAGAGTCAGAGGAGGGGTGGACAGTGGACAGTGAAGGGGAGAGGGCACATTACAGACAGGGAACAGTATTCATAAATTCATATAAGGTGAAAGCAGGACAGTGCATGTCAGAAACTACAACATTTTCAAAGCTGCAGAAGCTTCAAGTGTCAAACAAGAGAAGTGATGTGATAGGGGTCATGCTACAGAGGTTGGCCTTAATCCTCTGGGTAGTGCTGAGTTACTGAAGAGTCTAGGCAGTGAACTGGCAGGTTCAAATTTAAGTTTTAGAAGGATCACTCTTGTGACTATATAGATTTTGGATTAGAGAATGACAAAACTAAACCAAGGAAACCAGCAGATGAGGTGAAGAATTGAGAGGATAGACAAGAAAAATATCGAAGATAAATTGGCAGGATGTCGTATAGACTGAATATGAGTGGAGATAAAGAGGGAGGAGACAAGAAAAACAGGTAGGTGTATGTGGGGCATGAACAGACATAAAGAATTCAGAGGGTGAAAGTAATTTTGGAGAGGAAGTGGGCTCAGTTTGGGGCATGTTTCATTTGAAGCTGCCAATAGAATATCCAGGTGGGAGTTTCAGCAAGTACGTGGCTATATTTGTCTGAAGCCTGAGGTGTGAAGAAGTCTGAACCAGACATACAGACTCATAAGTGCACTTACACAGATACTGAGACAAAAACCTTAGAAATGTATGAGACCCAGTAATTCCACTGCTAAGGATATATTCAAGAAAGATGTGTTCACACAAAAAAAGTTTATAACAGCAATATTCTTAATAGCTAAATAGTGGAAAGAACCCAAATATATACTGACTAATAAATTAACAAATAAAATATGGTATATTCATATGTACATATTATAATAATGTAAGAGTATTGTATAAAAATATGTATGTAATATATAAAAAGGAATGAATACCAATTGGTATTACCACATGGATGCACTTTGAAAATATTATGCTAAGTGATAGAAGCTGGCCACAAATAAGATCACATATTGTATGATACCATTTAAATGAAATGACCCAAATAGCCAAATTTATAGAGATAGAAAGAAGATCAGTGGTACCTTAGGATTAGGGAGGTTGGGGGAATAAGAGGTGAGAGCTAAGGAGTATGGGCTTTCTTTATTGATGTGATGAAAATGCTCTGAAATTGATTGCAGTGATAGTTGCACATATCTGTGAAAATACTAAAAACTACTGAATTGCACACTTCAAATGGGAGGATAATATGGTTTGTGAATTATATCTCAAGAAAGTTTTTTTTTTTAAAGAAAAAAAAAAAGAAAGAAAGAAAAGAAAATAAATGAATGAGAGCATCCAGGGAGAATATGTGCACTGTGCGTGGCCACAGCCTGCAGACTGAACCTTTGAGAATTGTCCATGGGAAGGAGACAGAGCATGACAGACAGCAGTTCAAGGAGATAAGCAAGGGCAGTAACACCAAAGTCAGAAAACGAGGGAGTTCAGTCATGGGGAAGAGACAGAGAGCGCCAAGAAGAGCGGAGGGAGGGCTAGCCTGATGAGGACTGAAAACCACCGCTGGGTTTGGCACCTAGGGATAAGCAGGTACCTGACTGAGTGTGGTGGCAAGCCAGAATACAGTGATTTTAGGTACAAAGGAGGATGAAAGGAAGTAGAGAAATATAGATGACAGCACTTTGGGAGGCCGAGGCAGGCAGATCACCTGAGGTCAGGAGTTCGAGGCTAGCCTGGCCAACAAGGCAAAAACCCATCTCTACTAAAATCCAAAAATTAGCTGGGTGTGGTCGCATACACCTGTAATCCCAGCTTCTTGGGAGGCCGAGGCATGAGAATTGCTTGAGCCCGGGAGACGGAGGTTGTAGTGAGCCAAGGTGCCACTGCACTCCAGACTGGGCAACAGAGTGAGACTCCGCCTCCAAATAATAATAACAATAATAATAATAATGAAACATAGAGTAGAACAAGAACCACATGAATTTTTATGAAACAGCTTTGTGCTTAGTGCTTAAATATGTGACAGAGCTGTTCCCCTAGATTGCATTCTGGGAGAGGCAGGAAGTTGAGGGAGACCCAGGCTAAGTGAGTCAAGCAATAACTTATGTATCTGCCTCCATTTCTGAACTAAATTCTATTTCACTCTGTCCACTGCTTCTGGTTGGCACATCAATCAACCATAGGACCTAAAAAAAGTATTGACTGAAAGTAATCACATCTGTGTCATATCACATCCCTTGTCATACTGAAGTGGCTGCAGTGTGGCAATAACCACCATCTAGTCAGGACCATCGGAAGAGGGAAATCAGATCGGCTTAGTATAGTCTTTTCATTATGCAGAGAAAAAATAGTTTAGGCGAGTTGTTCAAGGTCGTAAGGCTGTCTGTAAAAGAAAGACTAGAATCCAGATTTTCTAACTCAGCCAGATGTCTTTCCCCAAGACTCTACTAACTCCCTAACAAAACGATGGGTGCAGAACTATAATCTCCTCACCATCTCATAATCTTTAGGTTGAAAGATTCTGCTCTAAATTTAGCTGACTATGTAACTAAATAGATACTATTAAAGGTTTGACTTTACTACCTTAATAACTCTATCTTATATATTGCATCATCAATTAAAATCATGCTGTGAGCCTTTTAATGTATCTATACAGTTTCAAATTATTTTGTAAACTTGGGATGGTTTAACTTTTGCATACTGTGAAATGATTTACATGCCCTTCCTCCACTTATTTTAAAGATGAATTCTGTTATGAATCCAGATATTTACTTGGAAATCTGTGCCATTATTGAATATTTGATATTTTCCTTCAGATTCCACTTGGCAAAACCTGTGTTCCTAAAGGAACTATTCACCTTATCTTAGAAGAATCAAGGACAGTCTCTCATCTGATAGATTCTTCCCTTCTTCTACCACCACCACTGTTCTCTCCCTATAGAACCCTAAAATCATGAATTTATATCCACAAAACTCTGGCAATGGTCATACTTGAAAATTTTCATTAACCTGAGGTATTTTGGATCGTTCATAAAATAGTTTAATAGAAAATACACCTGTCCTCTTAAAGAAAGATGATTTATACCTACACCTAGACACCCCACAGGTCTATATAAAATACAATATATCTCAAACTGAGTTCATCATATTACTCTGTTGAAGGCTGTCTATTCTTTCTCTGTGTTCATTATTAAAACTGAAGACATTGCTATGAACTCAGGAATTCAAGTTTCTGTCTCTGTTTCCCTATATGTTTCCTTCATATAGTTGTGTCCCTTTCTGTTTAAAAAAAAGTTTCTAAAATCTACCATTTAATTGTTTTTTCTTAGTTTTGGCCTTATGATCTTTAACTTCGAGCACTAAAATATTTTTTTAACAAGTATTCGGGCAGGGTGCAGTGGCTAATGCCTGTAATCCTAGCACTTCAGGATGCTGAGGCAGGAAGATTGCTTGAGGTCAGGGGTTCAAGACCACCATGAGCAACATAGTCAGACTTCCATCTCTACAAATTAAAAAAAAAATTAACAGTGTATGGTGGCATGCACTTGTGGTTCCAGCTACTTGGGAGGCTAAAGTGACAGGATCGTTGGACCCCAGGAGGTGGAGGTTGCAGTCAGCCATGTTTATGCCACTGCACTTCAGCCTGAGTGACAAAGTGAGTCCCTGTCTCAAAAAGAAATGAAGAAAAAAACCGACAACCAATAAAACACATGTAAAAAATCCAAACAAAAACAAAATCAACAAAAACAAGTGTTCATATATCTAATCTTCTTGTTTTTTAAGACATTCTCTACAATTGCTAGAACTACTTTTTATGACTTGCTGCCCAGATAATCATATCCAAACCTAGTACACAATCTAGTACCCTAATGATTTTCCACTTTTTACCACTGTTCCTCACGTAATTTATTCTTCAATCTTAACTAACTTGCCATGTTTTGAAACTGCCAACTCTTTTCTGAATCTGTGTGTTTGCACTGTGCATTCCTTCATGATGGATAATCCTTCCCACTTAAACTCGTTAGTGAGAATTTACTCATTCTCTAAAGGGCATTCAAATGTCATGTCCTCTGGATGTCTGTCCCAGACTTCATACATTTCTTTATTTTCCCTCAGAAATATTCATTGCTATTCTCATTGTGTTAGTGTTTCTACAATGGGTATAGTATCTGTCACATTACGTCAGATTGAGTTGTGAAAGTCTGTCTCTCCAGCTGGATTTTGCATTCCTTGAATTCCTGGCTTAGTATTACGTATTTGCTCATTTTAGTAAGAGTGTTTATCATAATGTTTGGAGCATAGTAGTCATATATAAAACATGAATAAAGTGTGATTGAATTGAATCTCTAGCATTTTGCTATTTTTCTTCATTTGTAGAATATATTTACCAGGTTTGTGATGAGTCTCTCCTCTTTATTAATGGATTATATTTATCATTTTGTTCTTTTAAAACACAACAAATGCCAATTGATAAGTTACCACGTGTGGAGTGTCTCTGATGTTGTGCCAAGATCTAATCTGAATAAGCATCCTTTTTTTAACATGCCCACAGATTAGAAGTGGATCTTTAGGTGTCATCTGGTTGAATCTTCCTCTGCAAGAACGTGATGCCATATTTTTATTAGTATTAATTTTTCCTTTCCATGTTAAATATTTTTCTGCACATTTTTCTCAACTTTGTGTCCTAAACCTTTCACCACAAGCCTGGAAACTTAAGAGCCTGAAGACTCTACTAATTTTTTCTAGATCTGTGATGTCAGCTGAGGACATCCTTTTCTCAAAAGTACATTTGACAATATCTGGAGACATTCTTTGATTGTCAGAACTGAGAAAGTGCCTTGGGCATCCAGTGGAAAGAAGCCAGGGATGATGCTAAACATCCTGAAATGCACAGAACAGTCCCCACAACAAAGAATTTTCTTGTCCAAAATGTCAATACTGGTAAGGTTGGAAAACTCTGTTCTAAAGGATGCTGCCCAGAAAACATATTCTAATTTTTCCTATACAGGAAAAATTCCATGCATTTTTCATGCATGTTCCATACATTTCTGTGTATGTGACTGTGCATGCCTCAAGTTTCCAACCAATCTGATGAACTACAATTGGGAGTTACATAAGGAGCTGTAAGCATTAAGGACCAAAGCCTGAAGTCATTTACCACCTTTCATTTATGATTGCAAATCACATAGAGTAGACAGATTTTAAGAAAAAAAAAAAAAGGACAATTTGTTTCCAGTTTCTTTCCTACTACTCAGTTAATTGCTAGTCATTTTAGAAACATGCAACAGAAGAAATTTTAAAGAAATATGACACAAAGCTGAGGCAGGTGTGAGTAGGATACCAAGTTAATAATTCACACCAATGACTGTTTTTAGACAATAGAAAGAAAAGTGAACGGCCATAATGAGTATACTAATGGCAAACACTCCATAGTTCTCCAACATGACCTTGTTGGATGGAGAATGGTTTGAAATTGCCATTATATAAGCTGGGATAGAAGTGCTTTGAGAGTACTGTATATAAAATAAAAGCAGTAGAGGTTTCACAAATCCCAGAAGGCTGAAGGCAGAGAAGACTATTAAAATGTGTGATCCTAGAAGAAATTGTTTCTGCAATTGACAACAAACTACTTGTCAACTAACACTTGCCATGTGTACTTTAATCTTGTAGCCTGGCACTTACCTGCAGGGTCACTGGGGATGGCTGACTTACATCCCACACTCCTGGAGCTATCATTTCTATGGGAGGCTCACTCTGAAATGTCATGCTGAATAACATAGACCCGAGAATGGATTTTCTGCAAAAGACAATACACAGACAGACAAGAGTCACTTCATGATGGAAGCTATTATTATCTGTAAATGTTTTCTTTTGGAGTATAAACATAATCAGCTATTATAGTGGGTTTATTCAGTTGCTGGAAAAGAAATGAGATAGTCCACCAGCCTAGACACTGATTAACAGTTCGTTTCTAATATACCACATGCATGGCTATTTTTGTAGAAGCCTACATTTATTTTTCACATGAGAAAATTATTTACCGACAGTGGTTTCTAATGGATGGCAATTATTTTTAATTGCCATCAATGGTGATTATAAGGTAGAACTAATAATTTTAGATTTATATTCTTAGAGTTTAAGAATTTTAGATTTATATTCTTGGAGTTACAACTGCCTTAAATCAATACAGATGTCAACTCTTCAGAACATATTTGCTCCATGGAGTGACTAAATCCCTGGGAAACTTTAAAGATATAAGTTCTAAATTTATAGAAAAAAGATTTAAATTAGTATAGCATATGATTTGCAGAATAAAAATAGTTGTGGGGCTTCATGGAGGAAACGCTTTCTTACGCATAAATAGAAAGATTATTCATATTCTAAATGTTTAAAAATTGGTGGTAAATTACCATAGTAAATGAGAGTACATACAGTAAAGGCTTTAAACAGGGAAGAGTTCGTGCATGGTTTTAACAGCTTCAGTAACATCCAAATCCACAGATCCTTGTATAAATTAGAAAAGAAGTCATACCTGGCTGTGTATATGAGTCAGAATATCAGAAAAATGTTCCAAAAATCATGGAAAACAGTCTCTGATTTTAATATGCCAAATTGAAAATGCAAAACTGAAAGTCAACAAAATTAAGCTTATAAATAACTTTAATGCATCAAGTGAGTTTTTCTAAAAGCAATATATAATTCCATCTTGCCATTTAACAGATCTTATGCAAAATAAGAGGAAGACATTCGACAAATAAAGCTTTCTTTAGACCTTTAGCTTTCTGGAGACTGCCTCTTTTATTATTTTCTCTATTTAAAGATATTGTAAGCAAATACCTGCCTAGGGGAGTATAATTTGCTTTATTAAAATATGGGCAGATGTTTTATATGACTTAAGAATATTCTTCTAGCAGGATAAATTTTAAGTCTTGTTTCTTTGTTGCATCCCTCCCTTACCTGAATAAAATCTGTCTTGGTATAACAATATTGGGGGACCAGTATTAGGAAGGTAAGGATTAGTTTAATAGAGGTAGAGATTAGAAAATTATTATTGTAATTTTCCCTTTTGCCTTTCAGGGCATATGAACTTCACCCAAATGGCCAAACCCTCATCTGCCTGGGAAAAGTTTTGAATTAGGCAGAATGCTAGAGGAGAAAGAAACATGTCTAACACCAAATTTGGAGGTCATAATGTTCTCCACAGCATTCAGAGACAATGTTTCTGTGCGTGGAAAAGAATCAACAGAGGTGAGGATGGAGGAGGATGTGCCATATCGGATAGGAGAACATGATGAAAGAAAAGCCCATCACTTCCTGGGAATTGGGGAGGGTGAGAAGTAGAAGACAGAGAAAGAAGGAGCCGAATAAGCACGGCTGACATAGGCATCCCAGTTTGCCTCTCCTCTGCTTTGGCAAGTAGATGGGGAGACGTGTGAGATCAGTGAGCAAAAAACATAATGCTGAAGGCAGAGGAGCTCCTCTTTGCACTCCGTTTCAGACCCTGGAAGGAAATCACCTCTTGAGTGGTTCTGTGCTACGTGTGGCATTGCCATTAAACTGGGCATTATGTGAGTAACAGGCAGGAGGAACTTGTGAGTTTAGCTTTTTTAGGCCTTCTCTGGGTTCTGTGTAGATAAGATGGGATCTGGAAATATCTAAAGATTTTTGAGAGGGAGAGTTTCCAGAGTTTCCCTGGTGGGAATAAGGGCTCTGTAATAAGGGCATCTGATTGGACCATTCAACCTGGGGTCAACTGGGAGTCGTTGGCAAACCTCAGAAGGCTCCATGGTGCCTGTGAAAGCCTGAGTCACCCAGGGCTTCCCAGGAAACCCTGACCAAGCAGGGGGAGCCCCAGTCATGAGCTGCAGACTTCAGCTATAGCAAGCATCCATGAGCTTAAAAAGGGGCTTTGATTTGGGTATTGGAGGTCACCAGGGCAAATAATCTGTTTTTATGTTTTTTTTTCCCTCCTTTTCTTATATATCCTTTCCCCCTCCTAGGACGATAACCAGAGAGTAAGAAGGTTATCTGAGTGACCCAGCATTTTTATCCAGAAGAGACTGCATATTCTAAAAGGGCTATTAAAAGTTACTGAACTAGGGCTGGGTGCAGAGGCTTACGCCTGTAATCCTAGCACTTTGGGAGGCCGAGGCGGGTGGATCATGAGGTCAAAAGATCGAGACCATCCTGGTCAACATGGTGAAACCCCATCTCTACTAAAAATACAAAACATTAGCTGGGCATGGTGGCGCGTGCCTGTAATCCCAGCTACTTGGGAGGCTGAGGCAGGAGAATTGCCTGAACCCAGGAGGTGGAGGCTGCGGTGAGCCAAGATCGTGCCATTGCATTCCAGCTTGGGTAACAAGAGTGAAACTCCATCTCAAAAAAAAAAAAAAAAGATACTGAACTAATACCTTGTCACAGATGGAACTTTATTTCTTCTCATTAGTTACAGGGTGGGAGTTCATGAGGAAGAGTGTGATATAGGAGTTGCATTATTTATTCACACTTAAGTTGTGGAATGAGTTATATTTGTGGTCTTATCATATTTATATGTCTTGGCTATGCTTTAATCCAGAAATCTGAATGATCTAAGAGGTCTTGACAGAGGATGAGTAGACTCAAGAATTTGATGGTAATTACTGTCTTCAGATTGAATCTTGGATATATTAACAGTCACCAAAGCTTTAACCCTGAGGCACACGTGGCAGAGTGAAGTCAGAACACTTGACATAGGTGTGTGTATGGGGAAATCTATCAAAAAATAGAGTGTAGGGTGAATGAACTTCTAGCTATCCATTAAGGCTAATATATACACAACTTAAAGTCATTCGAGGGGGAAAGGAAATAGATGTTTGGCAGTATTATGGAGGTTCTTCATGTATTTGATATTAATTTACTTTTTGATAATAAAATTTGCCTAAAAATCTTTTTAGATACTGCAAGCATAATGGAGGGAACACATTTCCATAGACTTCATTAAATAGAGAATATAGGGAAGATGAGGAAATTGAGATGTGAAATTGAAATGTGAAAAGATGCATCTAAGAGTGTTGGTAGTTCTCAGAAAGAAGATGAAAATAGAAACTTTTAAGACCAGGCAAATGGGACCACTGGTCATTTTTAAAGTATTACTGCTGTGAAAACATTTATTAAGCTAGTTAAAATGAAACATTTTGAAGGCAGGGTATACAAAAAAGAGTTCCATGTAATGGAAAGAACACCAGACTTTGTGTCAGGACATCTGGAGCCTGTCTTTATTATTTACCTTCCCTTTATTAGCTTAACTTTTTTGAGCTTCTTGGACAAAATCAATGATCTTCAGAGTTTTGATATAGCTTTGGGGTTCTGCTGGTAGTTGAGGGTGAGCTTCAGATAGATGGTAGGAAGATCTCAGTTAGGCTGGGCTATGGGTTTATAAATTCTCTTGATAAAACACATCCATGGAATCACTCTTATACTTTGAGGTTTTTAATATGATGCCATTAGAAGAAGGACTACACTGCTAAACATAATATTACAAAATATTTGTTCTGGAGTAGCCTTAAGACACTTTTCAATTTAAATATATTTTATAAATTCGTTGACCGGAAAAGCCAACACAAAATTTGTGACACCAGGAGAACAGATGGGCTGGTTTACCCTCTTTGGGTCACTTTTCCTCAAGCAACAAGATAAGGTGTTTACATAAAACAATTATCAATTTTAGCCATAGTACTCTATGTGTCTACTGCTGGCATCTTGTAGCCAAAGAATTGGTAGCAGGCAGGACCAAAGGATCTGATGTTATAAAATTATTTTGGCCACTGACTTTATTATATCTAATAGGTTTCATGAGTAAGAGTAGAGTCTAGGCAAGGCTGAGCTGGTACCCTGTTGTGTTAGGCTATTCTTGTGTTGCTATAAAGAAATTCCTGAGATTGAATAATTTATAAAGAAAAGAAGTTTACTTGACTCATGATTTTGCAGGCTTTACAAGAAGCATGGTGCTCACATCTGCTCAGCTTTCAGGGAGGCCTCAGGAAGCTTCCAATCATGGTGGAAGGCAAAGGGTGAACAGGTGTCTCATGTGGTGAGAGCGGGAGCAAATTCTGAGGACATGCTACACACTGCCAACCAACCAGATCTTGCAAGTACCCACTCACTAGTTCAAGGACAGCCCCAGGCCATGAGGGATCCATCTCCATGACCCAAACATCTCCCACCATGTCCTACCTCCAACACTGGAAACTACAATTCAACACTGGATTTGGAGGAGACAACATTTAAACTATATTATTCTTCCCCTGGCTCCTCAAATCTCATGTCCTTCTGACATTGCAAAATACAATCATCCTTTCTCAATAGTCACCCAAAGTCTTAATTCATTCTGGCATTAACTCAAATGTCTGATGTCCAAGTCCAAAGTCTCATCTAGAGATAAGTTCTTTCCATCTATGAGCCCATAAAATCAAAACAAATTATTTATTTTCAAGATAAAATGGGGGTACAGAAATTGGGTAAAAATTCTCATTCCAAAATGGAGAAATTGGCCAAAAGAAAGGAGTTACAGGTCCCACGCAAGTCTGAAACCCAGCAGGGCAGTCATTAAATATTAAGGCTCCAAAAATAACCCTTGACTCCATATCCCACATCCCGAGCACACAGATACAATGGTGGGTTCCTAAGACCTTGGTCAGCTTTGCCCCTGTGGCTTTTCTATGATGAGTTAGTAAACTGCTAGTGACTCTACCATTCCAGGGTCTGGAGAGCGGTGGCCCATTTCCCACAGCTTCACTATGCAGTGCCCCAGTAAGGACTCTGTGAAAAATCCAACTCCACATTTCTCCTCTGCAGTTCCCTACCAGAGGTTCTCTGTGAGGAATCTGCCCCTGTAACAGGTTTATGCCTGGGTACCCAGGCTTTCCAGTATGCTCTTTGAAATATAGGTGGAGGTTGCTAAGCTTCCTTCACTCTTGCACTCTGTATGCTTGCAGATTTAACACCTTGTGGAAGCTGCCAAGGATTATAGCTTGCAATTTACAAAATGGTGGTCCAAGCTGTACCTGGGCCACTTTGATCTGAGGTTGGAGCCAGAGCAACCTCGATGTGGGGAGCAGTGTCCTGAGGCTGCACATGGCAGCAGGGCCCTGGGCCTGTCCCTAGAAACCATTCTTTCCTCCTAGGGTTTCACATTTCCTGGCTATCAGCACCTGGCTCTTTTTTAGTTATGCAAATATGTCTAACAAGTACTTGCTCCAAGCCCACTTCAGCTTCTCTCCTGATAATGCTTTTTCTTTCTCTGCCAAATGGCCAGGCAGCAAATTTTCCAAACTTTTATACTCTGTGTCCCTTTCAAATACAAATTCTAATTCTGAGTCATTTTTTTCACTCCTGCATCTGAGATGAGGCTGTTAGAAGCAACTGGGCTACCTCTTGGATGCTTTGCTACTTAGAAATTTCTCCTGTCAGATACTCTAAGTTACCATTCTTAAGTTCAAACTTCCCCAGATTCCTAGGGCATGAGCACAATGCAACCAAATTCCTTGCTAAGGCATAACAAGAGTAACCTTTGCTTCGGCTCCCAAAAGTTCCTTATTGCCATCTGAGACCTTGTTAGCCTTTACAGAATTTATATCACTATCAGTGTTTTGACCACAACTATTTAACTGGTCTCTCAAAAATCACAAACTTTCTCTCATTTTCCTGTCTTCTTCTGAGTGGTTCAAACTCTTCCAGCCTTTGCCTGTTACCCAGTTCTAATGCCACATCCACAGATATCTTCATAGCAATACCCTACTTCTGGTACCAATTTTCTGGGTTAGGCCATTTTTGCATTGCTGTAAGGAAATAAGTGAGCCTGGGTAATAGAAAAGAAAAGAGGTTTAATTGGCTCACAGTTATGCAGGCCTTACAGGATGCATGGTGCTGGCATCTGCTGGGCTTCTGGGGAGGACTCAAGAAGCTTACACTCTGGCAGAAGGCAAAGGAGGAACAGGTCTCTCACATGGTGAGATCAGGACCAGGTGGGAGGAGGTGCCACACACTTTTAAACAACCAGATCTGTGACTACCTATTCACTATCTCAAGGACAGGACCAAGCCATGAGAGATCTGCTCCCATTACACAAACACCTACCACGAGGACCTACCTCCAACACTGAGGACCATAATTCAATATGAGATTTAGAGGGGACAACATCTAAATACATCCCTCTTGTAGGGTAGCAAACTGTTTACAGAATGTTTATGGAGAAAGGCATGGCACCTAAGAGCAGGAAGGGAGGCAGCTTAAGGTAATAAAACTCAGACATACATTCTAGTTTTTGTTCTATTTATAAGTAGTCTGGTACTAATTGCTGGTTTTTAAGTCTTCATTCATCATAGAGTTCTTTACCTGTACATGACATATTTGGACTAACTGAGGGTCTCTCTTGGATAGGAGAAAAAATGATAAGAAATTCTCATCTACAATTTTTTTCAGGTATATGATTTTGAAGATATGTCTGAAACAATTTTATACAATGGAGTCAGGTTTGGCTACTTGGGGAATTGTCTAAGGAATCTAACTGTTTTGAGATTAAGATTTATTTTAGGCCTTTTTTGAAATTATGAAAAACATCCTAATTTATCAAGGTTTTAAAGTCGTCTTGGGAGCTTTAAAAATACTGGTACTCAGACCAGATCACAGACCAATTAAATTAGAATCTTTGAGCATGCTTCGGCTTTGTGTTTAGTTTTAAATCTCCTCAGAAAATTCTATGCTTTAATCAGGGTTGAGAATCTCTGTTCTGAAGTAGCTTACCACAATTTAGAAATGCTAAGTAATTACCAAACTATTAATTTTGAACTTGAGTAGGGGAGGGAGCTCATGGAAACTGTTGAGGTAAGGATAACACTTTCTCGCTACATTGCGGTGACATTACAAATGTAGATGAGGTGGAAGCCTTGTCTGCAAAAGACAGCACTATAAAACTTCTGTGGGCCAAATTTACTTTTGGACTTGGAGACTTTTTGAGATAGAATTGAAGATCAGTTTGCATGCTTGAAAATGTAGAAGTTTATTTTTATTTTCAGACTTTGTTGATGCAGCCCTAACTGATGTACCTGAGTTTAATCACCATTGGTTCATCTGAAATCCACTTCTGGAGACCATAAAGAGATAGGAAACCTTTAATTCTGCATATTTTCAGTTGATATATGTGTTGGAAAAAATGACATAAGCACTCATTATAGTTCCACATGGCTAGCTATGGGCAATTTGAACTGTAATAAAAGAGAGATTCAATATCAAATGTTTACGAGCAGGGATTATCCCATGAAAGAAAATAAAATTAAGTCACCAATTTGCTTTGATTTGAAAGATCTGCATCAAATAAATAGGGTTAGAATCTTTGTAACTTGAAGCAATGAGCAAAGTGGAGTCTTCCCAGCCTCCCAGTTGCGCCATGTGATGTGTTTCTGGTTTCTTAAAAATATCTGTATTTCCTTAAATTACCCAGCATAGGAGAAAAGCAGATTTTCTGATTTTCAGGAGAAACAGGTTTTTAAAAAAATATTTAGAAATGCTTATTGAGTACTTGTTGAAGTGAGTTGTGTTTTCTGATGTCTCATCATCTACAATTTTGACGCATCCCGTTAAAATTGCTGCCTAGGATCAGTCCCAGATGCCATCTCTCACAAATGCTCATCTTCTATGACCACTCGCCTATAAAATGCTTACCAATGGTAAGTGACATATGACAAAACAACATGGAGGTGGTATTTTCACTATCATGATCATCTGGAAAAATGTCTTCAAGATTAGTTTTAAAGACAAAAATATTTCTAAATCATATGTTTAGTGTTTACTGATTTGTATGTGCAAGTAGTGTGTTACATGAGGGGAGAGTAACATGGACTTAACCTTTTTTTTCAGTGATTAATTAGACATATTCTACAAAAAATGGTAGATCTTACAAATACTGCAGGTGAAACTTTAAGGAAACTCACTTATGAGAAGGAAGGACACTTGTATAGCTGCTCCTAGTGAGAAAGAAAATAAAGTACTTAGCATAAAAATTATATCTTTGAAATGTCTGCTAATAGCAATAGGTATTGCTTTTAGGGCTAACCTGTTTCTTATAGACTTTGAAATCTTATTTCATTCTTTATCTCTTCTATAGGGACTGATTTATTTTCCCCTCAGTTCAATTTAGTAAACAAACCTGTAGTGATTGCCTGTTTGTATGAGGTGCTACATTAGATGATAGATGTGACAAAGACATACACGTTCCCTGTCTTCAAGGAACACCAGTATAGAAATGGGCTAAAGCATGAAAACAAATAAAAGAGCAACACACACACACACACACACACACACACACACACACACAGTGTACAACAGAAATAATACAACAAAGAAGATTTTTAAACATCTATTATGGTTGCTAAAATTTTTCATATTGATTAGGTCTGGAAAATAAAGACTAATGCAATTTTTAAAAAATATTTTTGCATTACCATATCTTTCTAAAACAGCAGAGGCAGAAACATACTTTATAAAGATATTAACATTACAATATATGTTTTAATTTTTCAAAAGTCCTGAATTTTATCATTTGATTCTGAAGCAAGAGTAGCCGTATGAAAAATGATTGATTTTTAAAAAATGCTTTTTCCTTAATACCATAGAAAATCATGTAATTGATTTTATCAAGTATTCTGAATATTAATAGTTTCTAAGATTTATGGTTAAATCAACACTTCATTTTTCAACGATCATTAGTTCTGAGAGAATATCTGAATATATAATTGACTTAGTTTTCTGAAAAATATCACCTTAAAGTTACTAAATATTTCTTCTTGGCAAGAAAAGCCCAGTAAGCCAGTTACCTTATATAATTTTACTTTAGTCAGAATTCCATGACTTACATTCTTTCTAAATCACAGTATTAAACCAAATCATTTTGAATTACTAATTCCAAAGAAATCAGCTAGTCAGAGAAGAAAAAGTAATTGAGATTGGTCATACCAATACCTTTTCATTATAAATGAGCCAGCTAACAAATTGAGCATAAGTCCTGTTTTTAAAGCCGTTTCTACAATTTTACTTTTCAGTTCTGCTTTCAGTAATCATGATTTATATTGAACTATGTCAATTTTAGAATAAAATGCCTTGATTTCCTCATTATGCCATATACTGCAAAATATTTACTTCTAAGAATGTTTTATTGAAATGACAGGCTTATTACTCACAATTGATATACTTACTCTTTTGGAAACAATGGAAGACAAGACCACGCCAATACATTTGCATTGTTGGTTGCACAGGCAATCCCAAACAGTTTTACAGTGAGCATGGATTCCCTTGGAAGTGACTTTATTTCAAGAGGAAAATTGATCCTAAGAATAAAAGAAAGAGGTAGCATTACCTACCCAATTGTACTGATATTTTTAATAAGAACATTCTTATCATTGTACTGGTCTGGAACAAAGATATTTATTTGAATAGAGACAGCCTCTTGAAGTTTTTTGTTTGATCTTGTAAAAACGGGAATTTAACCGAAGTACGTAGAATACAGTAGTGAGATTTTGTCAACTGGTGAAAATTATTCCTGATAATGTTGACATGTAAGTGTAATAGTTACAATAATTTGAACATTTATTCTTAAGTTGTTGCAAGCACAGATGAAAAACAGACTTAGAAAGACATTGTGTTAGGGAATTGGACAAGGCAGGAAATAACTCAAAATGGTTCTGAGGGATTAAGTTAGCTATAATGAGATGGAGATTTGGAAAAGAAGATTCCAGAAAGAGGAAAAAGCACAGACAAGAGCATATATGGATGAAAGATTAGGTGTATCTGAGAAATGGTGAATGGTTCATTGCGGCTAGAACAAAAGAAGTCAAATTGATAGGGGAAGCTGTGGAGGATGTAATTAGAAAGATAGGTGGTTGCCAGATTGCTTAAGAGCTCTACATGCTAGGCAAAGGAATTTGAACTTCTCCCTAAAGTCAAAAAGAAATATTTGAAACATGGAGCCAAAGTGTAGAGAGTTGTTTGCCATTTCAAATGTGGACCATTCTGGGTCATGATGAGGTTCTAGGGATCTGGGGGATGGTCACTGAAATGTAACACATATATGATCTCTGGATATAATAAAGTCAAGACTCTCTGAGCTCAGATCCTGGATGGATTACAAATACTAACAAGTAAAATTGGCTAAGGATAGACACAAGATTTTTAATGGTGCGAAAAACTCGAGTTTGAGTTGGAGCCATCAATATATATACAAGCAAGTGTCCAGAAGGTCCTAAATAATATTATAAGACTGGGTGGGATATACATGGGTGATGTGATTTGAGAAGGGTCTTTTGACAGAAAGTTGAGACTGTGATCTGATGTTCCTAACAGGGGCAGGAAGACATGTACCTTTCATTCTTTTCTGGAGTCATCTCAATTGTATAGAATTATATAAACAGATTCTCATATATGATCATTATACAAACATATGTCAATTATATGACCATTATATGATAATGCCTCAGAGAAGCATGGTGTTTGGGAAAGAACTATTTGTGAGATAAGGAGATGAAAGAAATTTTTTTCTAGGAGCTGAGATGGGGAGATATGTTTATTAGTAGATGGGAATGCCAAACAGGAATGAGAAAATCGGAACAAAGTTTGGCAGACAGGGCCAGAGTCATGGGAGATGAATTGCTGATGAATGGGAAGGAGAAAGAGGAAAGAAACTTGAGGAGTGACTGAGCAGCTTTATGGGATGATATCTGATGGCCATGAGGTGTGAGAGAAATAAACAGACTCTACCGGCCTTGTCATTCCCAGTTGAACTTTGATGTAAAGTTGTTTGAGCAGTAGGTGATGATTAGAATATGGATGATGACCAAAGCCTTTTGTCCAACTGAAAGGTGCTGACTGAAGTTCACCCAGCTGAGGCCTCAGGTGTTATTAAGCATCTTCTCACACTAGGAGTTGGCTTTCTAATCTGGACACTAGGGAGCAGATTTTACCTAAAGTTTCAGATCAAACATTGGTGACTCCTTCTTTTCAGTGTGTACAGCATCCAGCCTTGGGGATAAGTGGAAGTTAATTTAGTTCAGTGACCACAGTTGAATTTAAGAAAGTACATCTCTCTCTGCTTCACATGGTGTCCACTAAGATAATCAGGTCCAGATCCAGGGTGGTCAGAGAGCAGCTAACAGGATGAAAGACAGAAGAGCTATTTTAGAAGTAAAAGAGATAACTAATATCTGACTGATGGCATACCAGTGGAATGAGACAATAAAGAATTAAAGATGAATTCTAGTTTCCAGATTACAACAGATGCTTTTCACTGATAGGAAACAAAGAAGAAAGAGAAAATTGAGGTGGGAATAATGAATACAATTTAGGGAATGATGTTACTGAGTTAATAATAATTGTGAGATGCCAATATATAAGCTGTCTGTGGAAAGAATGAGTCCAAGTTTGGATTTGGATACATCTGTGTTTAAAAAATGACCTTATTGACTAAGATGCATTTAACCTTTCTAAGACTTTCTCTTTTACACGAAGTGGAACTACTAGTATATAACACAAATATGGCAAATTTTAGGTTGAATATCAGCATTATATTCATTTCTTCAATCAGTATTATAATAATTTGTATTAGCCATTGTGCACTTAATACTCAGAGTGTAAAAAACACATTTCTTGTAGACATATAAAATGCAAGTTGATATGATTTGGCTTTGTGTCCCCATCCAAATCCCATCTTGAATTGTAATCCCCAGTTATTGAGAGAGGGACCTGCTGGGAGGTGATTGGATCATAGGAGCATTTTCCCCCGCTGTTCTCGTGATAATGACTGAGTTCTTATGCGATTGGAAGGTTTTATAAATGGAAGCTTCTCCTGCTCTCTCTTTTCCTGCCATCTGGTAAAGAAAGTACTTGCTTCTCCTATCCCTTCTGCCATGATTTGATGTTTCCTGAGGACTCCCCAGCTATGCAGAACTGTGAGTCAAGTAAGCATCTTTCATTTAGAAATTATCCAGTCTCTTGTAGTATCTTTGTAACAGTGTGAGAACTGACAAATACGTAAGTCTAGCTAGACTCAAAGGAGAAAAATAAAGACTAGACTGAGAAGAATCTTCTGTTGTTAAAGACTGTCAAATTGTAGATTAAAGTATTAAATTGGGACCCAGTGCGGTGGCTCACGCCTGTATTCACAGCACTTTGGGAGGCAGAGGCAGGTGGATCACCTGAGGTCGAGTGTTCTAGACTAGCCTGACCAACATGGAGAAACCCTGTCTCTACTAAATATACAAAAAATAAATAAATAAATAATAAAAAAAATAGCAGGGCATGGTGGCACATGCCTGTAATCCCAGTTACTCAAGACTGAGGCAGGAGAATCAGGAAGCCTAGAGGCGAAGGTTGTGGTGAGCTGAGATTGTGTCATTGCACTCCAGTCTGGGCAACAAAAACAAAACTCCATCTCAAAGAAAACAAAAATTAAATTGGATATCTATATGTTTAGGTATCCAAAACCAAAAGTCCTTTCTTTTCATTCATGTTCTTTCATACTTGTTATATTCATTTAAGGTAATATGGATGTATTTCTCAGCTTAAAAGAAGCTCTGAAACTTGACATAAAATGCTGATGATCCTGTGGAATGCACAGCAATTTCTTTAATGTTCTTTCTTTTACCTATAATTGACTCTCTATTCAGCTTTCATATTTCTGTGCTAGGATGAAAACTGTAATTTCACCTTATTTCTCACATGATCTAGAATGTTCTTTTTTCCTATTAGGTCTGGCTTCTTCATGTATAACTTCACTTGTTAGTTTTTTTATAACAAAAATGAAAAAAATTATATAAGTTACAGTGGATAGCTACTGCCAATTTCCATTCTGTCATTTTTATTAATAAAAAGAAATTCCTTTAGGATAAGAAAAGTGCTTCCTAAGTAGTTATTTATTCATTCTTTAATATGTTTGATTTTTTAAAGCCAGAATAGTCTTGCATTCACTGAATTTTTTTTTAACTTTTGTAGGGCTACTTAAAAATCAAAGGAATGAACTTTCAGACAAAAAAGGAAAAAATATAAGAGACAATTCAGTAAATGGAGTTAGGTTGCTTTTTTTTTTTTTTTTAACTAAGGAACAGGTACAGATCTGAAATTTTAACCACATGTTTGCCTCACTATAGTATTTAAGAATGAATAATCATTAAAATTTTTCTTAATATTGTATTCTTCTATATGAAATAGTTTTTCTAAAATCAGAGTAAGTTTCTGAGAGTGAAAAGTGAGAGATTTTGAAAGCTACACTTTTTCTTTTTTTTTTTTTCTGAGACAGAGTCTCACTCTGTCACGCAGGCTGGAGTGCAGTGGTGCAATCTCAGCTCATTGCAACCTCTGCCTCCCGTGTTTAAGTGATTCTCCTGCCTTAACCTCTTGAGTAGCTGGGATTACAGGCGCAGGCCACCACGCCTGGCTAATTTTTTGTTTTTAGTAGAGATGGGGTTTCGCCATGTTGGCCAGGCTAGTCTTGAACCCCTGATCTCAAATGATCCACCTCTTAATGTGCTGGGATCACAGGAGTGAGCCACTGCGCCTTGCTGAAAGCTGCATTGTTCAGAACTCTCCTATTAACACTGAAACAAAATAAAAAACAGTAGGCCATTGCAAGGACTTTATCTTTTCACTGAGTAAAACGGAGAGCCAGTTCAGGATTTTCAGACAGAAAAATGACAGGCCTTGACTGATATTTTAAAGAGACCACTTTAGCTGTTGTGCAAGAAGGACTATAAAGGTATAAGAGAAGTAGGGAGACCATTATACAGCCATTGTAGTATACAGAGGAGAGATGATGGTTGTTTAGACCACTGGAAGTGATGAGAACATATTCTAGATATGTTTTGAGAAGAGAGTCAGTAGGATTTTCTGAACATGGGGACTGAAAGGAGATTCAGACTAAGGATTTTGATCTGACCAGCTAGAATTAGAATCGATTATCCAGAGTGGCCATCCATGGGTGGAGTGGTTTGAAATATAAGAACAAAAATTTAGTTTAAGACATATTGATTCTCTAAGTGTGGAGTTTGTGAATGATGCCTGGGTTGGTGATATAAATTTGGTTATTGTTCGCAAATAAATGATATTTAAAGGCATGTAACTATAAGCGAAAAGTGAGGGAATAATGACATATATAACAGAGAAGAGGGTTAAGGGCTAAGATTATAATCAGTCTGGGAGAAGGAAAGGACATGAAGAACAAATGGCCAGTGAGGTAAGAGTCAGCCATGTGGAAAGAAAATTTCAAGTTGGAGCATGAGATCAACAGTGCCAAAAGCTTCCAACAGGTCCTGTAAAATGAGGACTGAGAAACAAACATTGGGTTTAGCCATGAAGGTTCCTGGTGACAATTTCAGTGGAGCAGAGGTGATGAAAGCCTTATTGGAGTATGTTATAGAGCAAACAAAAAAACTAAATAAAGTGAATGTAGATAGTTATTTGGAAGGTCTCATTACAAAGCAGAGAAGAAAAGAAATGGTATAGCTACTGGCAGGAGAATGGAGTAGAACAGAGTTTGTTATTATTTTATTTCTTTATTTAAAACATGAGTACTATTCATGGGATGTAAATACTCTTGTCAAAATTTTATATGTTGTAAGAAAAAGTATGCAAGTCACAGTAAAACCATCAGCTTACGAGTCACAGTGGGTCTAAATGCTAGCTCTGATCAGGCTTTCTGATTGTGGGAACTGGGCCAACTTAATCAGTAAGTATCAGAATTAGCACTCAGATTTTTTAAAATTATACTTTAAGTTTTGGGGTACATGTACAGATCTTGCAGGATAGTTACATAGGTATACACATGCCATGGTGGTTTGCTGCCTCCATCCCCCATCACCTACTTTAGGTATTTCTCCCAATGTTATTCCCTCCCAATCTTCCCACCCCCTGCAATCCATCCCCTAGCCCCCCCACCCCCCAACAAACCCCAGTGTGTGATGGTCCCCTCCGTGTGTCCCTATGTTCTCATTGTTCAATACCCACCTATGTGTGAGACTATGTGGTGTTTGGTTTTCTGTTCTTGTGTTAGTTTGCTGAGAATGATGGTTTCCAGATTCATCCATGTCCCTGCAAAGGACATGAACTCATTCTTTTTTTATGGTTGCATAGTATTCCATGGTGTATATGTGCCACATTTTCTTTATCCAGTCTATCATTGATGGGCATTTGGGTTGGTTCCAGGTCTTTGCTAATGTAAAAAGTACCACAATGAAATATGTGTGCATGTGTCTTTATAGTAGAATGATTTATAATCCTTTGGGTATATACCCAGTAATGGGATTGCTGGGTCAAATGGAATTTCTATTTCTAGGTCCTTGAGGAATTGCCTCACTGTCTTCCACAATGGTTGAACTAATTTACACTCCCACCAACAGTGTAAAAGTGTTCCTATTTCTCCACATCCTCTCCAGCATCTGTTGTCTCCAGATTTTATAAAGATTGTCATTCTAACTGGTGTGAGATGGTATCTCAATGTGGTTTTGATTTGCATTTCTCTAATGACCAGTGATGATGAGCATTTTTTCATATGTTTGTTGGCTGCATAAATGTCTTCTTTTGAGAAGTGAATGTTCATATCTTTGCCCACTTTTGATGGGGTTGTTTGCTTGTAAATTTGTTTTAGTTTTTTTGTAGATTCTGGATATTAGCCTTTTGTCAGATGGGTAGATTACAAATTTTTTTTTCCCATTCTGTTGGTTGCCATTTCTTTTGCTGTGCAGAAGCTCTGGGGTTTAATTAGGTCTCATTTGTCTATTTTGGCTTTTGTTGCCATTGCTTTTGGTATTTTAGTCATGAAGTCCTTCCCTATGCCTATGTCGTCAATGGTATTGCCTAAGTTTTCTTCTAGGGTTTTTATGGTGTTGGGTCTTATGTTTAAATCTTTTATTTGAAATTGATTTTAGAATTAGATTTTTATCTTGAATTATCGATATGATGGCACAACTGTGTGAGTTGAAAATAAATCTGATGTTTTAAAACAACCAGAAATTACTTTTAATTAAACCAGAAGAATACTTTTAGGGATTGAGTGGATCAATCATTTTTTTTTTTTTTTTTTTTTTTTTTTTTTTTTTTTCTTGCTCTATAGCCCAGGGTGGAGTGATCTTGGCTGACTGCAACCTCTGCCTCCTGGGTTCCAGCGATTCTCTTACCTCAGCCTCCCATGTGGCTGAGATTACAAGTGTGAGTCCCCATGCCTGCCTAATTTTTACATTTTTAGAGACAAGGTTTCACCATGTTGGCCAGGCTGGTTTCGAACTTCTGACCTTAAGTGATCCATCTGCCTTAGCCTCCTGAAATGATGGGACTATAGGCATGAGCCACTGTACTTGGCTTGGTTAATGACTTTTTAAAGGAGTTACTTGTTATACCAAATTTATTAATTTGCCCAATAATACTTATTAGACTCTTACCCTGCTTGGTGCAGCTTTAGCTGCTGTCAACTAAATAAATTAAAAAAAAAAATCTTTGTATCATTTGGTAGGAGCAGACAGAAATCTAAACAAACACATTCAGTAAAGTATTATAAGAGAAATTTACAGGTTAGACAAAGCAATGAAAGAAAAGATGGACAATTTTACCCAATGATAACAGGAGGGGTTTATAGAAGAGGTAGAAGAGGCATCCTGAAAGATAATTATGTGTTTCCCAGATGGGCAAATGGAATGCTCTGTTCCTGACATGGAATAACCCTGGCAGAGGCATGACTTCTCAGTTCATAGTTAAGGTAAGTAGACAGATGAAAAGAATGACTGGTGGACAGTCAAGGGATAGTTAGGTTAAGTAGATAAGATGCAAATGAGTGGTGGATAGCAAGAACAGGGAATAGGGGTAATTCTGGAGGTAAAGATACAGAGATAGGTAGGGGCCAAAACACAGAAGGCCTTGTTTGCTTTGCTAAATAATTTGTACTTTGTCTTATAAGAATTGGAGAGCTACTGAAAAATTTTACAGGCAGAACTGATTCTATGAAAGAAAAAGGGATATTGTTATTGAGTGTCAGGTCTTTGGTCAAAGGAATAAATAACCTTACTCAAGGAAGGGGAGATAGAGATTGTCATGGTCCTAGAACAAGGTAGATTTAGTTTGGAATGGGAGGCACCATGAAGTATGTGAGAATTGAAGGTCACATGCCATGTTTCGGGAGACAGTCTCCATTGATTATGGTAAGAGTAAGAGTAAGAGTAGGATAGATGGTACTAACATCATCCTCTTCTACAAATTCAGACACATTTTTATTGATGGAAAAGTATCATGCTGAGAGTCAAATTACCTGCTAAGAAAGCCAGATCCTCTGAAAGAGCTGAGGGAGAGTAGGCAGGGGAATTTTCTTCTGCTTGAGGTGGGAAGAATATTGATCTGAGTGAAGCAATAGACACTGCAGAGAAATGACTGAGAGCAAGTCAGCAGAGCATGAAGAAATGCAGCAGTAACCATGGAAAAGCCGTGGGTGAGGCCTAGGAGCCCCCTGAGATTCTGAGTAAGGAGAAGGGTTAAGTTGAGTGTGGGGAGCAAAAAAAGGAGAGAAGGACAGTTATAATGTTAGGAAAGTATTTTATCTTCTTGATTTAACAAATCTTTACAGAAGAAGGAAATGGGAGCCAGCCACCCCAAATTAAGCTTATTGTAAAAAAAAAAAAAATTTGATTGTTTAAGTAAATTTGTACTTCAGCTTATGTGAGAAAATGGAGAAAATGGAGATTACCCACATTATCAGGAGGGTGGGTATTTTCTTTGTTATTTCTGGACACCCTCTACTTCTTTCTCAAAGAGAGCATATTCCTGATATGCACAGTGTGTAAATGATTAATAAGTCTTCTTTTTTCCAATTTCCTTTTTTCTCAGCTCAATAATATGAATTGGACACTTGTCTGGGTTTCTAAATGGACTTTTAATCTGTTGAATTGAACAGTCAGTTATCTATTAGCCCTAGTATATTTATCATTCCACTGAATCAAATCAACTGGCAGCATATATTTTTTTAATCACATCTGTTGCTTTAAAAAAAGGCGGGGGGAAGCTGATCTTTATTAGATAAATGATCCAAACAGAGTAAAGATTAAACTTACGTTTCATTCCAGTTGACCAAGAAAAAAAATAGTTTCTTGACTGGAATATTTCTGCAGTTTCTCACTTGGCACAGCTTCTTTCCAGCATACGTAAGCCAACAGGTAAAAGAAAATGCTTTGTAGCTAAAAAGAAACAACATCGATTCAATTAGCTTGGCACTTTAAAGAAACCAGCTTTCTATATGGGTCAATTATTTCTGTAGTCAAAAGTCAAATGTTAAAGTGATGTTTGCTTGCATAAAGCATGCTTTCAAAATTGCTTTAAGAATTTATGTTGGATATGTCAACGAGACTGTGGAATAGTAGACCCTAAGACCTTCCTTTATTCATGGAGAGAAAAATTCAACAATATGTTGACTAATTCCTTTTGTAAGAAAACCAGAAACCACTTAAGAGGAGGCTCCTATAACCCAGGTTAATTCAAAACCAGCCATGTCAGAGTTGGTAGAAAAATTAGTGGAATTCACTTACCAGAGCCTCTTGGCACAGGGTGGCATGATCAATGGTCAGAAGGAAACCCTCAATTTCTGGCTTCCCCTCAAGGGGGGAAAGAGAACACTGGAACATATATCTAACACTTAGACTTAGCACCATCAAGGCTACCAAAGAAACTAGCTTTTGTCTTTCCTGGATCTAAAAGCTGACAGGAAATGGCACCAGTCTGGGGGCCACTGAAAACAAAGATGATGGTTTGAACTAGCACGTCCTTGCTATTGCTTCTGTCTACAGCTCAGCATACAATGATTAGGAAAACTCCCAATTTATGGCTTCTTCTTGGGGAGGAAAAGAGTTGATTCATGTGTCCAACATTCCAGCTTGTGGGAGTACTATCAGAAGGACTGGTTTCTGTCTTATCTGTCTTGGAGCATTGCAGGACCTGGCATACCCTAGATTCCTGGAGACTGTTGAGCACAAAGGAAAGCTGGGTGGCTTCTTATTGTTCCAGAGGTCCTATGGTAGAGTAGACAAGGCCTCTGTACCTTGTCAGCCTCTCTCTGGTCAGGGAAAGTGGGAGAGAAGAAAGGAGCATATGTTCAACATTCCAGCTTTTAAAGAGATTGCCTGAGAGATTTCTTTCTGTTTTATCCAACTAGAAGCACTGATGGGATGCAGCATACTTATGCACACTACTGAAAACAAAATGATCTGATCACCTCACAGGAATTCCACAGAACCTACAACACAACAGACAGACAGCAGAAAAAGAAAGAAAATATGAGCTCCACAAAATAGAAACCAGCAAAATCCCTCTACTTGGAAATTTACAAGTACAAGTAGAGTGAAGATGCACTCTTATAAAAGGTTTGGAAGGCACACAGAATCTCTAGCCAGGTTTATTTTTGAAGCTTATTTTTTTTTTTCAGTGTGAAGCCAGACCACAAAGATTGAGAGAGTTAGCTTTTTTTTTTTTTTTCAAATGCACAGATCCCAGCACAAGGTAATAAGGCACGCAAAGAAACGGAACCATGACCTAGCCAGGGAAACAAAGGAACAAAACAAACCAATTCTAAGAAAATAAGGACATATAAATTATATGACAAATAATTCAAAATAACCATCATAAACATACTCAATGAAAAATTACGGATGAATAAAATGAGAATATCAACAAAGATATAGAAAATATTATTAAAAGAATCAAATAGAAAGTTTGGAGCTAAAGAATACAATAACTGAGTTGAAAAATTTACCACAGAGATTCTGAATCAGAATTGATAAAGCAGAGGAGATAATCAGTGAACTTGAAGACAGGTTATTTGAAATTGTCCAGCCAGAGAAGCAAAAAATGAAAACAACAACAACAACAACAACAAAAATCCCACAATGAACAGAAGAAAGCCAAATAGAATAACGGACATGATCAAGTAGGCCAATATATCTATATATTATTATGGGATTTTCAGAAGGTGAAAAAAGAAAAAAAAAAACAAGGAGGAAAGCTCATTTGAGAAAGTAATGATTGAAAGCTTCCTAAATTTGGGGAACAAAATGAACATCCAGCTTCAGGAAGCCTACTGGCTGCCAACTATGAAGAACCCAAAGAATATCCCATAGGGACATATTAAAATCAAATTACAAAATGTCAAAGATGAAACGAGAGTTTCACAGGTAGCTAGAGAATGTGACTAAGCATGTACAAGAGAACATTCATAAGATTATCAGTGTATTTTTCAGCGGAAACTTTGTGAGCCAGAAGAGGGAGAAATAATATATTCAGTGTGCTGAAAGAAAAACAAAACTGTCACTAAAGAACACTATATTTGAAAAAAATCATTTTATGAGATGAATAAAAGCTAAGGCAGTTCCTCACTACACGACCTGCTTTATAAGAAACTGTCTTTCAAATTGAAATGAAACAATACTTTAGAGAAACGCAAAAGCATCAAAAGTATAAAACTCACTGGTAAAGATAAATTTATAGACAAATACAGAACACCATAATGGTGCTAAATTAATTACTTTAAACTCTGGTATAGCATTTAAAAGACCAAAGTACAAAAATAGCTACAACAATGTGCTAATGGATATGTAGCATAAAAAGATGTAACTTGTGACATCAATAACAAAGTGTGGTGGAGTGGAAACAGAAGTACAGAGTTTTCTTTTGTAATTGAATTTAACAGCTTAAAGAAGGTTGCTATAAATATGAGATATTTTGTATAAGACTCATGGTAAACACAAAAAGAAACCTATGGAAGACATGCAAAAAATAAACAAGGAAAAAAATCAAAACATGTCACTACCTAAAAAAATCAAAGCAAGTCATTACCCAAAAAAATCAATGAACCCTAAGAAACAGCCAGAGAGGAAAAGACAGAGAAGATACAAGACAGAAAACAATTAGCAAAATGGTAATAATAAGTCTTTCACTATCAATTACTTTAAAAATAAATAAACTCCCCAATCAAAAGACATTGTCCATTTAACCAACAGCATGGCTAAATGGACAGAAAGTATATAATATCCAACTAGATGCTACCGACGAAAGACCCATTTAGATTTAAGGACATGAATAGGCCAAAAATGAAAGGATAAAAAAGCTATCCTATGCAAATAGTAACCAAGGGAGCAGGGGTGGCCATACTTACATGATCAAAGTAAAGTTTAAGTAAAAAACCATAACAAGAGAAAAAGAAGGACATTATATAATGACAAAAAGGTAAATTAACCAGGAGGCTATAACAAAACATCAGAACACTCAATATATAAAGCAACTTCCGAACACCCAACATATAATGTAATCATTGACAGAGCTGAAGCAATAAACAGCAAAACAATAATACTAGATATTAATAATAGTCCACTTTTAATGAGTAGAACAACCAGATAGAAGGTAAGTAAACAGAGGACTGGAACAACGCTACAGACCAAATGGACCTAGCAGATAAATACAGAACATTCAACCCAGGAGGAGCAGAATACATATTCTTCTAAAGCAAACAGGACTTTCCAGTCTAGATGACACATTAGGTCACAAAACAAATCTCAACAAACTTAAGAAAACTGAAACAATGTCAAGTAGCTTTCTGACCTCAGTAGAATGAAATTTAAAATCAATAGCAGGAAGAAATCTGGAGCATTCACAAATAGGTGGAAATCAAACAACGCACTCCTGCAAAACCAATGGTTCAAAGAAATCCAAAGGGCAATTATAAAATTCTCAGAATTGGCAGTGCTTACAGCTTGAGGAGTGCATCCTGCCCAGGTGCAGTGGCTGCCATTGAGACCCACCTGAGGCACTTTGCCTTCAGCCTCGCAGCATTCCTAGCTGCAGCTCCTGCACCTGTTCAGCTTTCTCACTCACCCTATCTTCCCTGTAGCCTGCTGCACCATGGAGTTGGCATTGGTGGCATTAGCACCAATTGAGCTGGTCTGCAGCAGCAGGTACCAACATTTATAGAATGAGGAAGAGCCTGAAGAACCCAAGAAGGCTTCAGGTGAGGTTCCTCCATCTTACAGTAGCAACTCTGCAGAGAATATGGTATATTTGACTATGAAGATGAGTCTAATTTTCTAATGCCCCTGTTTTACAATATGGTTACAAACAGTACCAATTTATAATTAAGTCAAGAGAATCAAGGCTGAAGCTATTTCTTTGGTTCCTGGAAGAGACGAAGATTTTGTGAGACAAGATGATTTTGATGATGCTGACCAGCTGACAACAGGAATTTTTTTGGTTAACATTTTTCCTGGCCTTCCTCTTAACTGGATTGAATTTTTTCCTGTCTTTTTTCCTAACTGCTTCAGTGGCAGGAAGATATGACACCATTTCAGAATTTGGTCTCTTTCTATTTAAGTGGGTCCTGAGAGTCAGATTTCTAACCTGTTTCTCTTGATGCTGGTAGTCAGCACTGAGGTTGTGGAATGAACCAAATGCTGAGTTAAGGTGCCTGATGCTAACATGATGATCATAAATTATTAGACATCTTGGACCTGAAATGATCTCAAAATATCCTTACATTTTAAATGTGTAAGAAGCCTAGCTTGCTGGCAGAAAGCCAAGTGTGGGATGCAAGTGCCTAGTGGACCTCTTTCGGTAAGCAGAACGAGCAAATGTTAGTTTGGTAAATAAACTAATGCTAAAGCTAGCAGAAGAAAGGAAATAATAAATATAAGAGCAGGAAAAAATGGAATAGAGAGTATATAAACAATAACAAAAAAGGAAAAAGAACAAAGAGAACATGTAAACAATAGAAAAACAACAACATGACAACAAAACTCAAAGTTGGTTTTATGAAAAGATCAACAAAGAGGGCAAATCCTTGCTAAGTAAAAAGAGAGGACTTAAATAAAAACAGAAATATCAAGGAGACATTACCATTGATGCTGCCGAAATTTTAAAAAGGGATTATAAAAGACTAGTAATTATATGTCAACAAATTGGTTAAACTAGAAGAAATGAATAAATTCCTAGAAACACATCTTCCCAGACTGAATCACAATGAAATAGAAAATCTGAACAGACATAAAACCAGTAAATAATAAAAAACCTTGTAACAAAGAAAAACACAGTACCACATGGCTTCACTGAAGCATTCTACCTGACATTTTAAGAATTAATGCCAAGGCTTCTCAAATTCTTTTGTGAGAAACACATATTCACCCATCTAAATCCAAAGACT